TGTGTGTGTGTGTGTGTGTGTGTGTGTGTGTGTGTGTGTGTGTGTGTGTGTGTGTGTGTGTGTGTGACAACGAGGAAACAGGAGGTCTGACTGCAGTAGCCTGTGAAAAGTGCTGGCTCCTGAATGAGGCAGAAAGTTTTCTACTGTTTCCAGATGTCCTGCTGTTTAACATCAGATTAAAAGTGGAACCAGTGAAAACATGAGTCACTCCCAGTGAGGAGGACTCAGTATCAAATAAACTAGTGATCTGCATCCTTCAGAAGGACAGTCAACAAAGGGATTGGTTTATTTTACAAAGAAATGCTGAAGCTGCATGAAAACACTTGTCAGAGTTTGATTTAAATGAATATCTCAGGTGCCTGCAGGCTTTTCATCAGTTTTATTTAAAATAATCTACAACAGATTATTTTTTCCTGTTAAACTGTACACACGATGTGTATCACAGTAAAGATAACAAATGTTTTGAAATAATCATGGTTTTCTGATGGTTGTCTGGTGATGGTTGCACAGAGCAGAACCTGCTGGTTCTGTTGGTTCCTCCAGTTTCAGCTTGTCTCACTTCGAGGACTTTTACAAATGATGACATGAGATTCACCTCAGAAAGATAGTTTTATTAAAAAGTCTGAACTTAGCATGAAAAGTAAGGAAGTTTTAGTTTGATTATTGAATAAATCTTGTGTATTTTCCATGAAGGAGTGACATTTCTAAGGAAAAAGAATGTGTGTGGAGCAGCAGAGTGTAAAAGTTGCCAGATCTTCCCTGCCAGTGTCAGTTTGTTCTGCTGTCGACTCTTGTTTGCTGTTTATTGGTTTGGATGATTGAAATCTGCAGAACAAGAAATATTTTCAGTTTAGTTTATTTAGCAAACAGCTGACTCAGTAGCATGTGGAAGAACCATACACAGCCACAGCAGCCTGGTCACACACGTGTCCCATTCTTCAACCAGCATGTGTTGTAGGTCAGCTGGTGTGTTGGTCACTGTGGCAGGACCGGTCCAAGCTGAGGTCAGGGCTACTGGGAGGACACGCCCAGATCCTGGAGGTGGTCTCTGATAAACCAGGCTCTGTGGGGGGCAGGCCACTTCATGTTGGTTTGGTCCCAGACTGTGGAGATATGAGATCTTCACTGGTTGTAGATTTTCATCTGGAGATCTGTCTGCATTGAGATTGGGCCTCATGCAAGAACATGTTCGTATTTTTATCCTAAATTTCTCTTACTTTTGTTCGTACAAAGGGTTCGTACGAACAGGTCACGTCAGATTCAACAAACTCTTCTATCTTCAGGAAAAGTGCGTAAATGAGCTGCGTAAATACCACCTGTTCTATCCAGCTGCTCGTGCACGTGAGAGGAGATTAGCATAATTACCACGCCAAAAACACCATATAAGGCTGTGTTTCCTACCTCACATACAAGGAAGTGTTCATTCATGAGAAATGACAGCGATAATTATAAAAAAGAAGAACTTTATGAG